GTTTTCAGAATCTGACAAATGAAATTCATATAAGAGCTTCTTCACCGTAGCAGCTCTTAAAAAGCCCCTCATATCTGTTGATTTTTCCCTGCCACACCCTAGGGACCGATCTTATGTTCATTATGTAGATAGGGTAATTCCCATGCGCTCCATATGAGGTTGTGCATCAATCAGAGATTGATTGAAACCCTTCAATGCTGCAGTTTTTTTTGCGCAATTTCAGCTTGCATTCACCCCGTTGAAAGCCCTCTGCATTAGACGCCCACACGGCATATTTATTGGTAATAGAGGCATGGAAGGGAACAAGGCCGATTCAAGGGGCAATTCAAGGGAAATAGACAAAAAGCAAAATTTTCAACCCACCTCCCTTTTTGTGGGCTGAAAATTCTGCGGTCCCCTCTGGGCTTTTTCTCACTGAACAACATCCTCTCCAACCACCCCCGCTGTTTGCACTTAGCTTTTCCTTCACGCTTTTTCCACAGTAATCCTTTTACTTTTTCCTTACTGCATAGTAAATCACCCTGAGTCTGAGGCTCTGTGCATGCCTACTTCTGTCCTTTATCCCAACACGTTTCATTAAATCCCATAAATATCTTAGCAGCTGTGATGAAGCGTAATTCACACTTCATTTCTCCCTGAACGCTCCTTTATTATCGCCTGTGGCGATGACGTGCGATGACGTCCTCCCTCTACTCCTCCCTCCCTCCCCAAGTTCTCCCGTCTACATCTGAGGGGCTAATTTTCGGGCAATCGTGAGTCCTAGAACCAATTTCATAATTTGGGATACATGTTGTGCAATCGTTTCCCGATGACGTCATCTCAGGGGTGTTATTTTCAATGCCCTGAAATGGTCTTGGAAGGTGTTCTCCCATTGAGCTCCGGGAATGCGTAGCCCAAGGGCTTGGTGTCACAAATTTATTTAGGGGATACCGTAATCTGACTAATGAGCTCAACATCTCGCACAAGGGGAATGACGTGTGGTGGAAGTGAAAAACTCTTCCTCTATAGGGTGTGGCCTTCGCTAGTCCACTTGGACGCGCGCAGAGACAAAAGGAAATGACAAAAGGCACATGTTGTGAAGCCGCAGAGCTTCATGCTAGCTGGCTGGACCTAACTTTGAAGTCAATCACGTCATTTCACTGACAAATCACGTCGCCTGGCACGAGATGCCTCGCTACTGCGCACTTTACCATGCAGTCAGTCAAAGTACAAATATGGTAGATGAATTCGTTGTGGGGGTAGCGGACTGGAAAGCCAACTATGCCAACTGCCAACAGCCAATAATGGTGACTGAGGGATAACACTCTCGACTGGGGTTTCTGGCTATGGTAAATACTGGATTGGAACGGATTTCGGGAAGCTCTTAGCGTTAAGCTGCCTTCGGTAATGGTGACGCCATCTCACTGGACACCTAATGCGCTGACGTGGTCGCGTCGTGGTGGATGGTGGAGAGTGATGATCGGCGAAAAAAACAAAAGACGGAATCGCCGTGGGTGGTCTGCGCGAGACTATCCTCCTCCTATCGCCCACCACACACTTACCCGATTCCGACTTACCCAGTACGATTTATTATTTCTCGGAAATGACAACCTGACAATTGATGAATTGAATCTGGCCGCATACAGCCAACCACCTAACACATCTCAGACTCTAAGTATTGGTGCACCACAGAAGACATCAACGATTACTGTATGATGCCAGCCACATTTCAGATTGATCGTCTTCGCACCGTCCTTAACGAGACGGTGGAGATTCATGGGAAAGGAAATTTCCCCACGATTTCGGCTCGTCTTATCGATATCATCTCATGTGTCAGGGACAAACTCAGGTTTGTATCGCGTTCGCCTTCCCTCGTTTGCAATGCCATTTCTCTTTGCTTCTTTCTTTCTTTTGGCTTCGGCTCGCCTGGCTTATTTGATTACCATGAATACGTTAGAGTAATGGATCTTAGACACATTTCTAGAAATGCTGCCGCGCCGCGCCCGTTTGCGTCATTTCTATAAATATATGCATAGAAAGCCGGGGTTTTTCCACTTTTCAAACGAGCCTTGTCATTTTAATAAATCACTAATCATTCTAGGTGTACGTGGGTGAGAAATGACGCCATCTAGCAGTGGATGAAGTGGGTTAGCACCGACTAGAGTATGGGTGAAAAACTCGTGAACACGCATCCTTTTTACTCACGTTCTCATAGCGCAGTGGGTGGAATACTTGATGGCATTTAGCACACTGAAAAACCCGTTATAGCCGTGGTGATCGTTTGAAGGCATCAAAAGCCCACGACCACTTTCAAGCATACTGTAAAGCATTCATCTTATTGTAAACCACCGTAAACGTAATGCGTTGATATCCTTAAAGGGTTTCTGGGTGCAGGGAAGCCGTTAATCGATGTAAGAAGGGATAAGGCCACGTAGCCTTTTAGCTTATCCCTTGAATCCTGTCAAAGTGTGCAGTCTAAGGGCACTTCAGTTCAGCTCAGTCCAAGCACAACTTGACCAATTTTGTTGAGGGATTAAATATTAATGCCGATAGGCCGATTAATTTACTCTGAAAGGGCAGCTTTTCAAGGGAAATAGGCGTTGTCAGGTGTTTTTGTGCTGCTACCCATCAGTCCAGTGATCCCTTACGAAAACTCCTTTTCAACTGTAAGATGAACAGATCCGAGAAAATGACTTGTTTGTGAAGTACGGTTTTTTCAGGCAAGCTGGCATGCCGCCAAAATCGGTGAAACTCAATGGAGGTGCAGCTTCACATGTAGCATCTGCTGACGATTTCTCATACGCTGATCTTGATCTCATTTTCCCGATGGAGGTGGAGAATTCGGACAGTTTTGATAAGGTACGTTGAAAGAACAGTACTGTGAATGGCAGTACCGAAAGGGTAGCACACTTCTTGAACCCTCTGCCATAGAGTTCCTTTCTGGAAACCCTAAACCGTCAGATTAAGGGGGAAATCCCTATCAAAATTCCTTCCTATGGTAATTGGCCTCCACAGGGATATCTAGAAAACTAAGGCTTGGGAAAAGGTGTCTATATGTCTTCAAGGAGATACTGGCGGCTTTGGTTACCGCTCTTTCACCGATAGGCCTAGGGATTGTGAAGACTTGATCTTTTGATAGATTCCCTATTCCTCAGCTGCTTAATCTAGTACTCCTACTACCTAAGTAGGATATTTCACGGATTTAACCAGTGTGACTTTAGGTTCGGGAGGCAGTATTTGACACCATCATGGATATGATGCCATCCGCAAATAAGACCAAAATCAACGCCGACACGCTGAAAGATGTCTACATCGGCAAGATGGTTAAGGTAAGCCTACACATTTTTAGCAGCTCGCTACAGTACAAAGTAGCTCTGACAGAACTACTACATGGTCCAGCCGCAGTACAACAATCCGTCTGGTCGTTTAGGTCTCTGGTGAGGACGATCGTTGGTCGTTGTTCTCGCTACACAACGACTTTGGACGGTGTATCGAGCTGAAATTCGTCGACAAAATGCGTCGGCAGTTCGAATTTTCCGTCGATTCGTTTCAAATCACCCTCGATTCACTGCTGGACGATTTTAATGCGCCTGAACCCAAGGTCTATATCGAAAGCATGTTTGGTGATGTACATCAGGTTGGTCGTCGAACTTCTGCCGGTACTACCCATTAACTCCCTCCGCTCACCCAAATGTTCACGATTTCAGGCGATGTCTCATCTGCACGAACGACTCATCGATACTCGCCGTCCTGAAGAGATCCGTGGTGGTGGTCTACTTAAATATTGCCATCTACTTACAAGAGGTTATAAGGCAGCTCGACCATCAAAATGCCGACAACTTGAGAGGTGAGTCTATCGGGCAGCCAGCAATCGACGATTTTGTTTCATTTGAGCGTGCCTAAAAATCGAAATGGAGTGGCACGGGGGGGGGGGGGGTCGCGCTGTCTATCTCAAATTAATTGGCATCATTCGTGCCATGATAGATGATACCTCGTGCTTATGATCCAGTGGTTCTAATTGCTACGTTGAAGCCGTCATCGGGTTTTTCCCAAACATTGCAATTAGAAGGTTTTTGTTTACGGAAGTCAAAATAATCAAAAGGGTGGTGACTTGTGGGCCAAAATTTCTGTCACTGAGCCGTGCATTCCTGAACCTGAGTCTTTGCTTGTCGGGCTATTTGTCGCTACCATTTTCTTCCACCAGGCCACAGTCACTCCATCTCAGCTCGTAGTAAATTGGTAAGCTTACGCCACAGCTGGGTTTGTACCCGGCCTCTGCTTTCCGGTGTAATTTAAAACTATCGAAAGGGGGTTATTGTGTTTGTTTGACTCTCATAATTACATGTGGTTGACATCGGTATTAATGTGCTCTCGTTTCTTTCATCCGATTCCCTTGACTGCTGATGGTGAAGCCAGGAGCAAAAACTGAGGACCTATCTCGACAATCACTTCGGCTCGAACAACGATCAGGTTCGTTTGTACAGAAGTGTTCCCACCGGATCACGGGATTCCGCTCACCAATGCAGAATAACAGCGCCTGCCATCGCCTCGACCTCTGATCAGTGGAGCTGTTCAAACAGTTCGACTAAACAGACAGTAACCACTTGACTATTCTGTTTACGGATAAGCCATAAGCAGTCACCGGGGGGAATCTATGCGCTTATGTGCCCATAGACTTCCGGAGCGACCAAACCCTGACCGTGGAACGAGAGATGTCCTTTCCTAAGTCGAGTACGCCAGAAGCTGCGCAGATCATGAAGCCTAAGATTACGCTTGGATTCGAGCTTCGGCTTAAGCTTATGCTTACACATTGGCTTATGCTTAAAACCTATGGGCCTAGGCTTGCTTCGAACCAATGAGTGGTGCCTTGATTTAAGGCGAGCTGACCGATGAGGAGACAAACGTGCCCTGCTGGAACATGCTTGACTAAGGAAGTTTTCAAGCTCAATCACCAAATGGCTCATTTGAAGGGAAAGCGCCCGTGACAACTACATCGCGTTTTAATGGTCCATAGGCAATTGAGGCGTTGAAGTGCAGCATGCGGCTCGGTGCTCAGCTGCACGTCATTGCACTTGGGGACATTCGGCCAGAAATAGGCCACTGCTCATTCCGATTAGGCCCTGAAACTATTTTTAGCAGCTGTGAAAAAGTCATTAGCATGACGTCAGAAAATGTAACGAGAAGCTATTAATCGTGCCAACCAAGGATTTTTTGCAGCCATTCCTTCCCATAACAAACAGGTAAACCTGTGGACAGGTGTTGGGTGCATGGGTAGAGTTGGAGCCGTAGGGGGGGGGTCGTGCTCAGGCCGAATCCTTTCGTTCGTCATGTTGCCCAGATGGCATAACATCTCTTCTGTTTTGTTTGTGTCTGTTCGTAGGGACAAATTAGTTAGCGATTGCCAGAAGCACACACAGACACAGCCTTTTTGTTGTTACTAGGCTTTGTAGCGCCACTACAATCGCCATTTCCCCCTCCAATGTAGTATAGGGAACATGGGTTTGTATAGTCGTGGACATGTTCATGAGTGTCAGGAAGCCGAAGAGCAACTATTCAAAATATTTCTGCGTTTGGAGGCTCCATCCATTGCTTGCTATCTGTAACCTTATGGCACTACTTAACGCCTTATCTCCAAATCATCTCATTAAGGCAATCCTCCGTAAACAAGGTGACCGGGTCTGCAATCGCAGATGTCGCACAACTTTCAAAATTCAAAAAGTGCGCAATAGAGACACAGAACTCACTCCGATGGGCTCCCATGCTGCTCCCTTACCGTTGTGGTGTCTGCGTCTCGCATGTCCCCTATGCTCTCTCATCTCCGAAGATGTTTTCTCGCCCTGGCGCCCAGTGTCTCCTGGACTGTCTGTCTCGCAGACTCGTTCCTCGGAAAACTTATTCTTATTATGAGTGTCTTCTCCACTTCCTCATTCTTTTTTCTTTCCCGGCGAGTCCCATGCTGCTCCCTTACCGTTGTGGTGTCTGCGTCTCACATGCCCCCTATGCTCTCTCATCTCCGAAGATGTTTCTCGCCCTGGCGCCCAGTGTCTCCTGGACTGCCTGTCTCGCAGACTCGTCCACCTCCCGGAAAACTGACTCTCATTATGAGTGAC